TTCTTTCTGTCTCTCTTCCTTTTATCTCGCCAGACGAATCTGAAGCGGCAGCCGCCGTCGATCTCTGCCTTCCTGCACTCCTTTATCCTTGCTCCCCTTCGGGCTTACACAGGGGGCTCGACAGCCCACGCAGGCCGCACAGACTCTGCCACTAGAAGGTCCGTACCAGGTGTCAGTGCAGGTCAAGTGCGCCCCGCTGCGGGGCCCCGGTTTTGCTACTCCGCCTTGCTCGCACAGCAGCGTTCTGCTCACAATCGCCCAGCGACGAGCAAAAGAGGTCGCCTGCATCGCTGTTCTTTTGTTGCCGCGCTCTCTCACGTCGTGTTCTCCCTGTTGCAATGTGGGCCCTCAGCACCGTTCCCCGGGACCAGCTTTTCATTCCGCCCAGTGTTTGGTGGTGCGGGTAAGGACAGGACTCGAAATTATCCTTACCCCTAAGATCGGCAAGGAAAAAACGATGATGATCTTAGGGATAAGCCATCAGAAATTGAGAAAATCCTTAAGATCGGCATCGAGGTCAGGTGATGCCAAACGTGGGGATAGGGATATGCTTCAAACTGGTAAGGTAAGGGCCACTGTTCAGGGCCACCGTCGTGGTCAAAAAATGTCCAAGCACCCGTCGTAGCTTTTTCTCCACACCAGGAGAGAGGGGCCGAGTGTCTCCCGCCAGACTTAGCCACTCCCCCGCCCCTCCTGTAAAACCGGATTCGTGATGCCTTCCCCCTCCTGCTCCTGCTCCTGCTCTATCCGGTGGTGCTCCTCCTTCGCTGTCTTACTGCTCCTGCCTCCATTCCCCTTCCATTCGTCTAGGACTTGGCGACTTCAACCCGCGCTACATTTGGCACGATGCCTAGAATCATCTGAACATCCTTGATGCACTCGCCGATGTATTCGGACCTCTTACATCGGTTTAACACAGATTCGTCCTGTGTATTCGGACTTGTCCCAGAGGAGTCATCCTCCGTCCGTTCTCCTCCACCCCATCCCTCCCTCCTCCCTCTTCCCTCCTCCCTCCCTCCTCCTCTCTCTCCCTCCTCCCTTCTCCCTCCTCCCTCGTCCTCTCTCTCCCTCCTCCTCCTCCTCCTTCTCCTCCTCCTCCTGATCCTTCTTCTCCTCCTCCGCCTCCTCCTTCTCCTCCTCGCCGTCGCGGTGCTAGCACGACCCCAGGAAATCAGGGTTCTAGCAGGGCGTCCTGTCTCTCAGAGGCCACCAGGGCCTTGGGCCTGGTGGGGGCCCCGTAGGCTCAAGCTGCCGCCGAGTCCTGGGACCGTAAGAAGCGGCTCGGGCTGCAGAGCTGCGCCTGGTGAAGGGTCTAGGCCTGGAGGCCCACGACGTGGAAGGTCACGACGCCTGAGAGCTGGATCCAGTGGGTTCTTTCCCTTTTTGGGGGGCTGTGATCTGATGGGCGGCGACCCACGTCCTGGTTGCAGTTGCAGCCTGCCCGGCCACTGTATCTTCAGGTGGCTCGGCCCGACCCCACCAATTGCAGGAAAGGAAAAAACACACAGACACAATTCATCGGCGATTCCCAGGAAAATATTGGAAAATATGGGAAGTGGGGGGGGAAACAGAAACCCAGAACATATGGGAGAATATGGGGGATCTTTTTATTTGTGTGTATTTATTTGTGTGTCCCAGGGCCCCTTCACAATCTTGCGATGACCACGTGATTTACATCGACCTCGCGAGCAGTGAGCGGCCGTGCCGCGCAAGCCACAGTCGCAGCCGTCCACGTTCACTCCTCACCCTCCGCCTGCCGCCGCCGCTGCCGATGTGCCGATGGCCTGATGCTTCTGCTGCTCCGTCCTCCCAGGCAGCCGCTGCTTTCGATGCGTGGGCCATCGGTCCTCTCGACCCCTTCCCGAGGGCCCGCTCTCCGTCTCCCGAGTCCCGCTGTGACGGGTCCCGAGGCACGCCACTGGCCTCCAGATGCTGCACATGGCCACGAGCTGGTCGCCCCGGCTTCTTCAAGGCAGAGCGCCGTGTGTCTGGCCTTCTGCTCTGTTCGCCGTTAGGGCTCGAGCCCACACAGAGAGCTCAGCGGTGGCCGGAAGTTATAGCTTCTTCGGTGGCAAATCATGGGAGATTGGTGCTACCTCTGAATTCCGTCTTTCGCGTCGACTGGCGTCGACAAGCGTCTGGGAGCCGGTGAGACAGCGCCGATTCAGCGTCGGCCAGCGTCGATTGGCGTCGATTTTGCGTCGGTCAGCGTTGATAGTTAGCGTCGACCAGCGTCGATTCGCAAGCGCCGACGAGATGGTACGGGAGGCTCTCGCGAGTTGCCACCGAAAGCAGTCTCGTGGCGACGCGCGCACGAGGGGGCGGCACGAGGGGGGTTGGCGGGGGGCCCTTCGGAGAAGGCCTGATGGGCTTCTGAGAAGGCAGGGACCTTCTTTGCGTTTGTGGACGACGATCAATGGAGAGGAAGCAGTTTGCCAAATAGTATGCAGATGTCTAAAACATGTTTCAAACATGCGTCAAACATGTTTGAAGCATTTCGACACGGTTTTTTCTATACACATGTGTAGACATTGTCAGTTAACCAACGCATGGTCAACTCAATGATCAGTTTGTTAGGATGTCCATTGTCATGGCATCCACAACTTTACGTTGCACCTTTGGGGGGCCTCGCCTGTCCCCCAACATTGGTGTCTTTTCTTCTGTGCCCGACGCGTGCTCGATGCGGACTCGGCGCGTATTTTCGTTACGCAGATTCAGTGCGGATGCGGCGCGGATTCGGCACGGATCCGGCGAGTCCTACGGGGATTCGATACGGATTCGACACGGATAGGGCCGCGAACGGATAGACAAGGTCCCCCGAGGATGCAGCATACAGTCAACCCGCATAGTAAGGATGGGCAACCTACCCACGGGTACTTTTGCGTCCTTGCCTCCTCGGTCTATCCTTTGCCCCTTTCGCTGGCCGCTCCCCGCTCGGGAACCCTCGAGCTGGGCGTCCAGGGCCCTCGCGCTCTCACCGCGCATCCTTCCGATGCGTGCCGACTGTAACCTTCTCAGGCGGGTCTGGGCACTTCTGGGAGGGCCTCCGAGAGGCCCCCCTGCCTTCTAGACACAGACACCATGAATCGTCGATCCCCAGGAAAATATGGGAAAATATGGGAAGTGGGGGGGAAGACGAACATCCAATATATATATATATATATATATATATATAAATATAAATATGGGGACTCCTTTCGTTTGTGTGTATTTCTTTGTGTGTCCCAGGGCCCCTTTAGAGAGGCCCCCCCTGCCTTCCAGAAGCTCGCCCCCCCCCCCCCCGTCTCTCGGGGGGCCCGCCCCTAGGGGAGAGGGACTGCCGCACAGGTCCACGTCGCTCCCCCCCTCCGCCGTCCCCATCCCAGAGAAGGGGGCCAAACAGTCAGAGGAGGACGAGGGGGGGGAGGGAGGAGGAATCGTCGAGGAGAAACAAAAGAACCACTGACCCTACTGACAGAGTGAGGGCGTGGCCCCACGGAGGTCCCCGTCTTTGCACACGAGATGCCAGATCTGGGCGGTTTGGCCCGATCCATCCGCAGGAAAAAACGAAGACTCCCTATCCCTGCTGCTTTGGGCCCTCCTGACTCAGGTTCCCACCCAAAGGGTTCGGGGAGTCCTTCCATTGCCCACCGAAGGAGGAGGACCTGGATGTAGCCTGGGTCCTCCGCGGAGGCGCAAAGGTAGCATCGCGCGCCGCCCGCCGCGGCCTGGCTGTGGGGAGAGCTGCCCTCCTCTCCGCGGGCTGCCGCGCACGTGGAACGAGAAAGGGCGCGGAGGATGGCCACGCGCCTCCTCCTCGCAGCGCGGGGCACGGTGCGCGAAATTGGGTGGTGACCTGTATAGCCGGGGAGGGTCTTTAGAACCCCCCCCCCCAAGCAGGAGGAGGAGGAGGAGGAGGAGGAGGAGGAGGAGGAGAAGCAGGAGGAGGAGGAGGAGGAGGAGGAGGGAGCAGCAGCAGCAGCAGCAGCAGCAGCAGCAGAAGCAGCAGCAGCAGCAGCAGCAGCAGCAGCAGCAGCAGCAGCAGCAGAGGGGGGGGATGAGGAGGAGATCAGGAGGAGGGGGGAGGAGGAGGGATGTGGAGGCGGGAGGAGAGGAGGAAGAAGGAGGAGGAGAGGAGGAGGAGGAGGGCGAGGAGGAGGAGGGGGAGGAGAGGAGGAGGAGGAGGAGAGGAGGAGAGGAGGAGGCGGAGGAGGAGGAGAGGAGGAGGAGAGGAGGAGGAGGAGGAGGAGGAGGAGGAGGAGGAGGAGGAGGAGGAGGAGGGTCGAGCTTGTTCCCCGCAAGGGAATGAAGAAACTGGAGGGGGGAGGAGGAGCAAAACTGCAGACCCTTCGAGGTTCAGCTTCTCGACGCCTCCCCCGCGCCACCCTCCCGTTCTCGCGCCGCCACGGGAGCCCCTCCCCTCCGCCAGAGCTGCGAGGCACATGTGCCTGTCCTGAGGCCGCCCCTCCGCGGTGGTCCTCGGGCAGTGCCCCCCCGCGCCGCGGGCCCCCTCCGCCGCCAGGCACGTCGGCATTGCTCCCGCCGGGCCCCGGCCTCGTCAAGGTCCGTTCGGAGCCCTGCTCCCGCGGGCCTCCTCCTCCTCCTCCTCCTCCTCCTTCTCCTCCTCCTCGTCCTCCTCCTCCTCCTCCTCCTCCTCCTCCTCCTCCTCCTCCTCCTCCCTACCTCCCCCTCCCTCCCTCCTCTCCTCCCTCCCCCCTCCCCTCCCCTCCCTCTCCTTCCTCCCTCACTCCCTCTCTCCGTCCTCCCTCCTCCCTTATCCCTCCTCCCTCCTCCCTCCTCCCTCCTCCTCTCTCTCCCTCCTCCTTTCAGTACCCTTTCAGTAAGGGCTCCACGGCGCGCGATGGCGCCAAAGCCCGTCAGTCGGGCGCCTCCTTGCGGGCGCTGAACGTCTCCTCCGTGTCTTCTTTGCGAAGAGCGCCCCTCCCTTCGGCTCGCAAGCTGAGGGACGCTCAACCTTCTCTGGTCTTTAGCTTTGCTTGTTGTCGTGAGCTTCTGCCGACCAGGCTGGTCGGTTGCTCGGCCTCGCCTGTCACGCAAGGCGGCGGCTCCTCTGGGATGCTTGCCGTGGAGCTCGGTGCTCCATCTTGTACTTTGCCGCTGGCGGACTTTGCTTCCGTGCTGGAGTCGTAGCTGTCTGGCGGCCCGCCCTTCGGCCGCTCACGGGCTGCGGGCCGCCAGTCCTTTGCTTCTCTCCTTCGCGTGGTGGTCATCGCCATGTCGAAGCTGCTGTCATGTCCTGCTGGCAGCCCGCCCTTCGGCCTTCTGGCTGCGAGCTGCCATTCAGAGTCATGTCCGTGTAGTCGCTGTCGTATTTCCTCTCGGGCGCCAGCTGACCATTGTGTCTGTTGCCGTCTTGCATTCGGGCGTCGTACTCGGGTGCTCGCCTCCTTCACAGCCGTGCCAGACACCAGATCCACCGCTGGACCCCCCGATTCGCGTGGCGACGCGATGCCTAGTAGCCGCAATGGCACACTAGGATTTTGCGCTCTAACGCATTGCAGCATACGTGGCGACGTCGAGCCTAGTAGCCTTGATGGCACACTAGGTTTTTGCATTCTAACACCAGATTCCAGCCCTTGAGGTTGCCGCCTGTCTTGCGGTAGGGCGCAGGGAGAACATGTCGATGCGTCGACCCGAGCGTGCTCAAGGGTACTGTCCTCGACCACCGCTACCATGCGCCGACCCATTGCATGCCATGCCACCGCTTGGCGTCTCGTAGCCATGCCTGTGGTAGCTGCAGTCTTGTTGGTAGTTGCCGCCGTAGACGTCGCTGGTGGTGTAGCTGCCGTTGTCGCCGTTGGTGATGTCCTTCTCCTGTCCGTGGTTGAGGTACCTGTCATATCTGGTGTTCATGCCGTTGGTTGGTGCTGCTCTGGCTATTCTGAAGCCCCATCTTGCGATGGTCATCTCGTCGAGCTGGGCAGCTGCAGCAAAGTCGAATTCCTCTGCGGCTGTCTCCTTCAGCTGGGTTTCGTGGATGGGGGTGGCTGGGTTGGCAACGATCGTGGTGCTGCCCGGACTTGTAGTGTCTCGTCGTGCTGCACGTCGCCGCCGTGTGCTTGATGATGTGGTGGCTCTCGGGAAGCATCCAGCAGATAGAGGCCTCGGCGCGTAAAGCGAGGGAGGGTACCTTCGCTTCGGCGGCGGCGTGCATGAAGCTGAGGACTTCTCTCGTGACAGAGTTAGCTGGGTAGAGCGCGTTGGCCATATGTTCTGTGGCGTCGGCTGGTCACCACGGCATTTCCTTCGAGCGTTGTCTGCTGGCGCGGTTGGCGATATCATCAGCATGATCGTAGTGGTGCCAAGTCCTTCTCGGTATCTCGGCATATATCGCGGCGATCTCGCCTTTCCAGATCGCGTCGCGGACGAGCTGTATGTCGTGTGCTGATGTCGGTGCTTCGCCGTCGTTGCTGGCGTCGATCGTGTGGTAGTCCAGGCCGCTCGCGCTGGTTACTGTGCTGGTAGCCATGGTCTGTTGGAGGTCGCCTGGCCGCCGCGGTCGGTCGGTGATGAGGACCACTTCCTGTCGTTCGGCTGGCTCGGGTGGCTTTGGTGCGGTGGGTTGGTGCTTCGTGGATTGGATGGCGGCGTAGACCTTCGGAACGACGGGCGACGTCTCCAAGAGTGGGAGCGGCGTGATGTCGATCTTGTGGGCGGGTATCGCACTGAAGGTCGCGTGTCGGCCGCTCCTCTTGTTTGTTGCCGTGGTCGTCGCTATGGCGTTGAGGCTGTCTGCTATTTGCTGTTCGGTGAGCGGCGCCATCGTCATGGTGTGCCAGGCGTACCAGGACTTTCGGCAGCGGTGGGCTACCGCAAGGTGGTTCAGGAGCCTCGGGAAAGTGTGGAACTCCGTCTTGCAGCACCTGCACGCCGTGCCCGTCGCCCATCGTCGGGGGTTCTCGCGGTCGGGGTGGTCCCTTCCCATGTGCACTGCCATGCCCTGCTTGGTGGCTGCGCGGCCACAGACGTAGCAGACGTATTTCGTCTCGGCGGCGCCGTCGGATTGGTCGATCTCGGCGGTGCTCGAGGAGATGAGGGTCATCTGGATATCCTTCTGGAACTTCGCGAGCTGGGCCTGGTCTCGCATGTAGTGCAGGTAGGCCTTTGTGGCTGCCTTGACCGCGTTGGTGAAGTGCTTGGGCATCTTGCGGGCCCAGTTGACGATGCCGCTGTCGTGCTGGTTCTTGCTCGGCCACCTGTCTCGCGGGAGGCGCTTTCGGAGAAGTGTAAAGTCCTGCTTTCAGCAGGTGGCTCCAGGTGCCTCCGCGCTGCCGCTGGCTGTCAAGTAGCTGGAGTAAGACCGCAGGCGCATGGTTCAGGAGCCGCGGTACGTAGGTAGCGTAGTCGGGCTGCCGTCTGGTGTGCGTCGAGGTCGGGGACGCCCGTCTTCGCGATCGCCTCGCCGGTGGTGGTGTGCCTGTCGGGCGCGTTCGTCTTGAGGCAGGGGCGCCGCCACCCGGCAGGGGCCCATGCACTTGGCAGCGATGTGGTTGCGGTCGTTCTTGGTCAGGCCCTTCCAGACGTGGTGGTCGTGGGTCAGCGACGAGGTCGAGGGCGCGTGTGCGTATTGCAGATTGGCCTTCGTCGATAGCCTCTTGCGGCGAAGGATCTGTTTCTCCATCGGTCGTGCTGCTCCGAGTGTTCTGTTGACTCTGAGGCAGATCTTCCCTCCTCCTTCCTCCTCCTCCTCCTCCTCCTCTTTCTCCTCTCCCTCCTCCTCCTCCCTCCTCCTCCTCCTCCTGCTTTTCTCCTCCTCCTCCTCCTCCTCCTCCTCCTTCTCCTCTGACGGGGCTCAAGAGACGCGGGTCCATGCAAACGGGGGTCAGCCAGGTCGCTGGATCTTGCAGGATCCTGCAGGGCCAGGGGTGCACCGACCCGGGATTGGGTGCAGGATCCTCTGGGATCATGCGGGGTCTTGCGGGATCCTGCGAGGCCTGACTGAGCCGGGTCTGGATTGACGCGTGTCAGTAGGTCCCCGAGGCTCGTGGGCGGGAGTCTGTGATGGCGGGTCCGTCCGCGGCGACGAGAGGCCTTCCCCAGTGGCCGAGGAGGCTCACAACATCCAGCCACCTCGAGCCTCGAAGCTCGAGCACGCTCGAGCGCGGCCGTTCTCCCTGAGCCCCCCCCCTTCTCCACCAGACACATCGCGGCAGTGGACCCTCCATCCTCCCGGCCCCCTCCACCAGACACCCCTCGACAATGCATCCTCGAGCCTCCTGGCCCCCTCCACGAAGCACACACCTCGGCGCTGCGTCCTCGAGCCTCCTGGCCCCCTCCACGAAGCACACACCTCGGCACTGCGTCCTCGAGCCTCGTGGCCCCCCTCCACGAAACGCACCTCGACGCTGCGTCCTCGAGCCTCCTGGCCCCCTCCACGAAGCACACACCTCGACACTGCGTCGTCGAGCCTCCTGGCCCCCTCCACGAAGCACACACCTCGACGCTGCGTCCTCGAGCCTCCTGGCCCTCCTCCACGAAGCACACACCTCGGCACTGCATCCTCGAGCCTCCTGGCCCCCTCCACGAAACACACCTCGGCACTGCGTCCTCGAGCCTCCTGGCCCCCCTCCACGAAGCACACACCTCGGCACTGCGTCCTCGAGCCTCCTGGCTCGGGTCGGGCGAAAGGGGGGGTGGGTGGGAAAGGGGGGGTTACGAAATCTGCTGCATGTAGCTGGTTTCGGCCCCACCGAGGGGCTCGTTCCTCGATACATGGCCGCCTCCGGCGCCGGGAGGCGCCGGGAAAATCAGCTACGTGAGCTGATTCTCAAACCCCCCCTTTGCTATCCCCCCCTTTCGCCCGGCCCGACTGGCCCCCTCCACCAGACACGTCTCGGCTCGGGGACCTCGACTCCCCCTGGTCGCGGCAGCCCCGTAAAGGTCGGCCCGCGCGCCCAGCGGCGCGGAGCGAGGACCGAGGAGGGGGAGGAGCAGGAGGAGGAGGGGGAGGAGGAGGAGGAGGAGGAGGAGGGGCAGGAGGAGGAGGGGGAGGAGGAGGAGGAGGAGGAGGAGGAGGAGGAGGAGGAGGAGGAGGAGGAGGAGGAGCAGGAGGAGCAGGAGGAGGAGGAGCAGGAGGAGGAGGAGCTCCCAGACATCATCGCGCCGTGAGAAAACCAGGACGGGAGGTGTTTCGCAAGGTTCGGGTCCCAGGTGCGCCCTCGCCGGGCCTCGGGGTCGTGACAAACGGCTCGGGACGAAAAAGCTGGTCCTGGAACTTCCGGGGACGCCGCCCCGAAAAAGTCCGGACGTCGCACGTCTGGCCCAGACCCCCTCGGGTAATGAAAAAATCACGACGGGGGGTTTATGGTTATTTTCGGCCTCCGGGGGCCCTCGCCGGGCCTCGGGAGCGTGAAAAAACGACTCTGGATGAAAAACCGGTCCAGGGCAATAGGTCGAGACCTCCAGGGGTCGACGTAATGAAAAAATCATGACGTCGGGGGTCTGGGGGGGGGGGGCAAGGCTGCGAGGGAGCAGTGTTGGCGGCCCACAGGGGGCCGTTCCACGCCGCCCGCGGGCCGAGATCCCAGACCCCCGGCATCGTGATTTTTTTTTTTTCGCAGCGTCGGCACCCTCGAGGGGGTCTCGGACCGCTGGCTGTAAACATCACAGCGCCGGATGGGATGCAAGTCCTGGGAGGTTAAATTCTGTATCGGCGCTGGCGTTTACGCGGTCGATAACGGGCTTCCTTTGGGTTAATCCAGCGCAGTCCGGCTCAATCCCGCTTCCTTCCGGGGCAATCCAGCCTATAATCCCCGGCTGAATCTGGCCTGCTCCAGGGAAGTGGCCCCCGAATCGGGCTGAGTTGCCCTCAATCGTTCCAGTGAAGACCTTCCAGACGGAGCTAGGACGAGGAATCTGTTCCAGAGCGCTCTGGAGCGCTCTCAGAGCGTTCCGGAACGCTCTGAGAAGGCCGCCGCGGCACCGGAGACATCCTCCAGAGCAGCCAGATCTCATAGATTCTCGATTTGTCCTCGCCCGATTTTGTCGTCCTGGCTTCGTCCTAGAGTTGCCTCCCAACGTCGGCCCTTTCCAGAGGACGCCGGCGTCTCGGTTTATGTTCGAGACGCGGGCCCCCACCTGCCGACCCCCTCCTGAGGACTGCTTTCTCGTCCCGAGCCGTTCTTCTGACGGCACCGAGGCCCGGCAAGGCCCACGAGAGGCAAACACCGATGCACAACATCGAAGGAACAACGACATTACACCTTAGGCGATGCTTAGGAAAACTTGAGTTTTCGG